CTCCTCTTCTCTTCATCTTTATTTTCCAATTTTCTTCTTCTTCTTAGTTAGGGTTTAAGCTTGTACTTTGGATTCTACCTTTTGATTGATTGTAAGTATTTTTCATCTTCTTTAATTCATGTGAATGATTAATTGGGGTGAAATACTTGATTTTGTTGAATTCATGGTTCGTAGCTAAATCTGACTGCTAGGGATAAGGGATGATTGTTCTTGTTTGAATTGTACTTGTCGGGCTTCGATTCGTTCATGCTTATGTGTGTTGTTTTGATGAGGGATTGATAGAATTATTTTTTGATTGGTTGATATAATCGAAGAGTGACACTTCGATCTTGCAATTAGAAATAATTGAATATTGATTAGTCGAGTTAGGGTTTTGTTGATTCTATGTGATTAGTCGATTAATACTCTTCTAGTTAACCGAAAGGGGAGAAGTCGTAGAAATAGGCTCACATGAGGTAGATTATTTCGTAGTTGAATAGTCTATATGTTTTTGGTTGAAATACGTGCGAGTCGATGACCCGTCCCTTGTTACGAAAAGTTATTGGGACTGGGATCATTGGCCTGTTTTGTATGCTTCAGTTTGTTCATCTATGTTCAATCCCTTGTTACGAAGAGTTATTGGGAGCGAACCGCTAGATGTTTAAGCGAGAGTGTCAATCTCGAACCGAACAATTGATAACCCGACTTTGCTAGAACTTGAATTAATTATCCCCGATTCCCTAGCTTCTCCATCTTCGTTTCATTCACATTTTTAGGTAGATTTACATTTTTGCATTGTTATTCATTTCATAGTTGATAATTATCCAATCTGCTATCTCGTTAGTATGTTTAGGATTTTATTTTCTTTTATGTGTTATCAATATCAAAGTTAAATTCCGAACAGCCTTCCTCGTGAGATCGACCCGGAGAACGAATCTTAGATTCGGGACTCGGTAAAGAGAATAGTTTGTACACAACACATTAAATAACCTCGGAATGTATTGGAATTTCTGATTGTATTAAAGAGTTCTTGAAAGCCAAAATTTTTATTACAAATGATCGGATCTGCTATTTATAGGGTGGTTGACCCATCGTACGAGGTAGATGTGATCGCATTTAATGTAAAATAGCTTTTGGGAGGCAGTTGTCTGCCAGCTGGACGACTGTCATGATGAGTGGATGAGTCATCGCTAGGGGTGTTCACGGTCCGGATTTAACCGAAGGAAACCGTCAACCCGAACCGCGGATCGATTAAATGGTCGGTTAAAAAAGCCTTAAAAAATCTGGAATAACCGATCCGGTTAACGGATTACTTGCGGCAAACTGTCGGTTTACCCGGACTGGACTGGTAAATATTAAAAAATTATAACAAATATATATATATATATATATATATCTATATATATATATATATGTATACATTCAGTCATTCACTTTCACTTTTTGGCCTTTTGTTGACTTAATTTTGTAAGACACTATAACTTTTAACTTTTTTCCACCTTCGTTTTTTCATTTTCAAAATTTCCCACCTCCTCTTCCTAATTTTTTGGGACGAAATGTGTATTTTTATGCCTATGGGACGAATTGTGTATTTTTTTATTTCATTATTGTTGATTTTCTTAATTTTTTGGCCCAAATAATCTCTTTTGGGCTCAAAATTGAAAAATAAAAATTAAACCCAAAATGAAAAAACTAAAAATTGAAGGCCCAAAACAAGGATTTTGGATTTAACCGGTTAACGCCAAACCGGACCGTCCAATGCGGTCCGGATTGTGGCCAGTTAAAAATAAAATCGGTCCGGTTATGGACAAGAAAAAAAATTAACCGTTAGGTCCGGTTTGGTCATAGTTTGAGCTAAAACTGGACCAATCTTTTGAACACCCCTAGTCATCGCCGCCTCAAGTCTTAAAAGTCAACTTTTACAGACCTCGGTTAGGAAGTCCCTCATTATCGAAAGACCTCGGTTGACACGGGAAAGCGATCAGGCAGTAATCCTAACATTGGGGAATGATGTCAGATTTTACTCCTGTCGTATCCAAGGTATCTATACTCGCAGAAGACTGTCATTAGAGCGGGGTTAACAGCTTAACTATCTTCCCCTTATGAGTAATTGAGTGCGAAGATTTATGTCTAACACCTATGATATACTATTGTAATATATATAAGGGGTATTTTAGTAATTTAACATATATCTCAAGCCGTTCGATAGTGCAAAATATCGACTCTAACTCCACTCGAGTTCGGTCAAATTCAAGCTCGAGTCAAGCTTTGACTCCAGCACTCGCGAGCCTCTCGGTTCGTTTGCAGCTCTAGATATGATTGTTGGGTTCAATTCAATTTAATGTTCTAGGTGGTGTTTGATGCAACTTATTTTAAATTTTGTTTCGAAATTTTTAAGTAGAACCATAACGGATATAAATTAAACAAATTACTATTTTTAATTACACTTTCATTAGTAAAATTCGCTGTATATTCTATCACATGTATTTATCCATTATTTATTTACCATAATAATTTATTTTTTTATTATATCCCAAGTTTAATGATTGCATCTGATTAATATGCTTAGGTACAATTTTTTATTTTTGCCAAAAATTATGAGACTGAAAATGAAACGCCGTCAATTCATTTGTCCGCATGTTTCTAACTACAAACTTTATCAATCAGTATTGTGTTACTTTTAAATCAAATCAATTTTTTTTGGTTATATTTTTTATATTGAATACATTCACTGTCTCATATTTCTCACCTTTTCAACAAGTATATATATTTTTTTTTTCAATTTTTCATCTAATTATTTCACAATGCCTTCTTGACACATTAGTAAGACAGTAAAAAGAATATTGAGATTTGAGATACATAGTAGGAACCAAGATGAAGAGGCCATATAAGATCAACATTTTGATTTTTCAAATCCATGTGGACAATATGAAACCACGGAGCACGAAGAAACAAGCAACAGTACTGTCGTACTGTCAGATGAAGAGGACATAAGAAAATCGTTGAACCACTTATTTCGATTTGGATTTCGGTTTGAAATTGGAACTAATGGTTCAAATTGTTAAAAATAATGGACATGAGTTGGTCTGAGTAAAACCACGTACCAATTCGACTCGTGGGCATGTCTACTTGCTTTATGACCAACCTAAAATGGGCAAATTTCATAAGTATAGGGAGATACAACTTATTTCCAATGAATTTATCTAGCTATATATCCTTTTCCCTTATGTGATCAATAAAAAAAAACATAAGATTTATTTTCAACTTCTAATTCATATTTTTTTGCCTCCAAATTATCTTGATCAAACCAGTACTAGTTCTTATTCTCTTTATTTTCTTTTTGTTGAGTAATTATTTTCTAGTGAAATAGAGGATTTGTGATGTATTAATATAAATATTCTAGTTAAAAACACTTTTTGCAAACAATGTAGAATCAAGAGAAAAAAGTAGGGCTCGTAAATATGGGAAAATCGATTTGATCGAAAAAATTTCACATCGATTCCTCTTCGAGCCAATGTAATCGAAGGAGGACATATAGCTAGAACAAAAATATCATAATGCAAGAACAAATATTCTGTTCAACATAATCCATTACACACATTTGTATATAACAAGACGAGATGCCTTTGCAAAACAAGTAAACAACCCCCACCAGATCAAGAATGACATTCGTACCCCTCCTCCGAGCAATTCAAAACCCCAAAAAAAGCGGACTCGCTGCAAGGCAACACAATTTTACCACAATTGCTATAATACCCATAAACTTCTGCAGATTCTTCAAACAGCTCTTGTAACTGAGCATTTCTCAAGCAAGAAATCGGAACCACGAATCTACGCATTTTCTCGCCGACATAAACCACAATGTGCCCCCTTGGGGTCCTTCCTCTGTGCTCCGTCCACAACAATTTGCAGCACTTAAAAATATTTGGCTGCCGGTTTTTGGCGATGACCGAGGTTTCCACCTTATCCATATTTTCGTAGTCGTATGTAGAATACAGTCTTCAGTGTTCAGTGTGTCTTTGTGTTGTGTGTATATATATATATAGGTGAATATTGTTCATGCATATCTTGCTGTAAGCCTGTAAGGAATTGACATGCACAGTTACAAATGTGGGCATGCATGCAGCTGAAAATGTTGACAAGCGTGGGGATATTCAAATAAGTTTCTTGCTGTCATTAAGATAATAACAAAAAGACCATGAGGGTTTTTCTACTTGATTTAATATGTACCGGAAATGCTACAGTCTCGTTACGAAATCATTCCATCGGCGTTTGTAACTGTTACATTATTATGTAATCGTATAGTTAATCTAACGGTTACAAATCCTGACGGAATGATTCCGTAACGGGACTATAGCATCTCCCAATATATTGTGTCAATTATGCTCATGCATGTGTCCACAGTAACTATTATAGGGGACTTTAATTTTCTTCTTTTCTCCTAACTATCATTATTCCCTTTATGTTTTATTATTCTTTTTTCTTGTTTTTTTTTAATAATTTTAGATGTATGTATAACTTATGTCTGAAAGGCAAGAGAAAAACAATTAAATCAAGTGTGCAGATCCGTAGTACTAAATCAAACTGGTTTCGGTGCCAAACCTACATATATTGAAGTGACAGATCATGAAAGAAAGAAAACTTATTAATTTGGGCAAACTTGTACTAATTGGTAGCTGCATTCCAAGGTACATCTTTCTTCTTGGTTTCTCACTACCCACAGTAAGTAGACATGGCCACGGGCGGCCCGGCCCGTGGCCCGACCCGTGACCCGGTACCGGACCGGCCCGGCCCGGTACGGTACCGGCATGAATAGTGCCGGGTTCGAGAATCGGACCGCGGCCAATCCGAGCCAGTTAAGGGTTATAGTTTTTTTTTGTCCCGGCGGGCCGGGCCGGGCCGGGCCGGGCCATTTTTTTTGCTTTTTTTAAGGGCCGTACCGGCCCGTGAACCGCCGGGCCGGTGAACCGGCGGTTCAGGCCCTTCGTTCCTAGCGGGCCGGTCGCGGTTCGGCTGTTTGAGGGCCCGTGGCCCGGCGGGCCGGGC